GCACAATCGCCGCGATACACTATTCGCCCCTTCATTTTGTGAAGATGTTCTGCTAATTCCCAGAATTTAATTGAGGCGATAGTCTGGAGACGGCCAAAGTGTACTGAGACTTTGTTAGCCTTCCGTGAGACTCCAACGCTGCTCAAAGGACACCTTCGCCTACAAACGAAGCCTTTCTCTTCGGTAAGCTTTCGTTGGTATACGGCGACTTCGTAGGCAACATAAGCTTTTCGGCAACGGAAGAACCTATCCGGTTTCAAGATAGGTAACAATAAGAAAAACTAGGGTTGAGTACCTATAGGTGTCAACTTTGATCTCTGCAGCTTGGCGCAAACATTTGTTTGTTCTAGCAAACGATCTTCGCCTGAGACGAAAGATCTCGCGCCAAACAAAAGCACATGGGCTGGACACGCAGAGTCGACATGAGAACGATGTCGTCTAACAAGGCTCATTCTCGAATCATGAGCACGTCTCTTCGATGAAGCGAGCGCTGTCGGGCCGAACAAAGAGCACTCCGTTTCAAGCCACATATATATGGCTGCAAAACTGAAGCGTGGACCAAAGGGACATGGTGAGTGTGGTCTCAGCAAGTCCAGGAAACTTCTCGGATGTAGAAAACACTTGTTTGCTGGCAGCGAAAGATGTCGGTCCAAACACGACCTATTCCGTTTCAAGTTCCATTGAAAAATGTAGGAGCACCTTAAGTGCATCTCAAGCTCCATCTGAGTTTGGTGGAAACAGTTTCGGTGGGTTGACGAGCGCTGCCAGACATAGAAAACGATTGACGGATTACACGAATAATGTCGCATATGCAAAAAAAGTGCCGTTTCAAGCTACAGGGTTAATGGGAAGCAAAGGCATAGCGCGCTATACTTTAGGCGCGCGATGGAGAATTGAAGGCTTGTCGCCAGCGGCTTTTGTTTGATTGACGCATACATCTACGCACTTGCGCGTTGGAACGTCAAGGATCACTGCTCCGCGACCAAATAAGGAAAGAGTTACTACCAAGTGCAGTCAAGGTCTAATTTGCAGTAACACTAAAGTGCTAATGCTCACCGCGCATTGCCTCGCCCTGTGGAGCGCAAGCTGTCAGTGCAAACAAAAACGGTCACTGCCCTGTTGAAGCGCAGGCAAGCAATGTCATTTGTTGCTACGCTAGCCAAAGAGTGTCCGATATGAGTGTCCCACAAGAGTGACCCACAAAAACAACTTTGGGAACAGGCTGTTTACAAACGGCTTTCAGAACACAAACCTTAAAGATAAAACCTTGGTTTTTGTATTTAGACCTCACTTGGCTGAGCCTTTTGTAAACGTTGTCGCCGCTTCGCGCTCGTTTCTTTTAAGTTGCAGTCGTTTCATCACGTTTCATGGCTGTAACATGTTTGACAGTAGGGTTTCTAACAGTTTTTTTGGGAAGGCACTGCAAACAAAAAACATGGAACTACTCTACACACATGTAACATGTAGTTAGTAGTTTTTCACCTCGCGCTGTAGCACACGGCCGCGGGGTCCATGTGCCGCGCACTTGGAGGCGCCCTGTGTTTTTAGCGGTCCCCAGCATTGAGGGCAGTCTCGTGCCACCGCAAACTGAGGAACAAGGTGTACCTCTGGCACAACCGTTCCATCATGTTCATCACATGGCACTTGATGCCTATCCTTTTCAAGTACCCCAGAAAACTCTCATCCGAGAAACACCCCATCACCCTCCGAGGGTTGAGCTGTGTACGGGCAACTTGCTTTGCAAGGTGGTCGAGCATGTGGTGTTTAGGCCTGATTTTAAATAGTTTCCACCCGCTCACTTCCGCCATGTGCGTCAAGTGTTGCCAAGCGATCAAATGAAGTCGCCAGCGCCCGCCAAGTTCCTCAGGGCACGGATGGATGGTCAGCTCAACACTTCATTAACCGAGCGTTAGTGTGAGCGTGGGGTGTCAAGGTTTCTTTTAGTCCAAGAAACATTGGCATCTTGTGCCCCCATCAAAAGCTCCGAATGGTCCATGATACAAATTGCAGCGTAGAAGTTCCAAAGGCAAACCGCAATCAGGCAAAGGAAGCGGTCCTTGAAGCAAGATTTGTGGGAGAGGACAAACCGAGAACGAGGAACAAGGCCATCTGCGTGGCTAGCAACTTGCAAAGGTTACCAATAAAACCTTTCGAGACTCATGTGGATCCTTCTCTGCTAGCTCAACAGCAGTCATAGCAAACCAGAACGAAGAAGACTTGATGAATGCAGCCTTGAACACCGTGCTAAGCTCTGGGTGTTCCGATGCTTTATCAAGACCGGTGTTTGCAGGCGTGAACCT